CCAACCTTTCTTTTCTCCAATGTTCCATGACAAGCACAGCCAGAGAAATTTCTTGTCCCTCTGCTTGCCATACCCCAAAGCTCCTCTTTAGTTCTAGGTCTTTCCCACCAGGAAAACACAGGTAATAAGAGACTGCACTAGAGTCAGCGGTTAACAACATCTACCCTGAACTGTAGTGATCACTGCTCCTTTCTTTGTCTTTTCTTTCCTCTACTACTGTCGCCTTTAATGCTTCCTTGGGTTTTACTTCTAGATTCTGAATCAGGAACCTTTTATCCTTCAAAAGTAAATGGAAAGACCACAGAGGAAAGATTAATATCAAAATGCTCTCTCTAGTCTTGCTGGCTCTTTGCCCCGCTGCCGAGGAGGTGGTCACCGGCCCAGTGCTAAGACAGGGCTGTGGCTAATAACCAATCTTATGGAATTGACAGTAAACAGAAAGCAAACCTGATTAGATTTAGATATGTTGGGTAACTCAATACACACACACACACACACACACACAGAGAGAGAGAGAGAGAGAGAGAGAGGAGAGAGAGAGAAAGAGAGAGAGCAAGCTTAACATCAAGCACAGAGGTTTGCCTCTAAAGACGCTTCAACTGAAAACTACAATACAGAAAAAAGTGATTAGATAAAGGGTAATTGTCCACATCAATAAGTACAGAATAAAATGTACACTTACTGATGGATCAACTTATACTGTAAACTTACCATAGAAGGGAAAAAAAATATGCACAGAAAGTGGGCTGAATATCCAGTGACACTGAGGCACGATTTCCTCTGGGTGAAGAAATGGCTCTGATAGGTGTTTCTCTATGTCCTACCTGTGAACCTGGGTTAGAAGGTTCTAAACTAGATAGAACAGCCAAGAACCTCCCCTGAGCCCTAGACATGGGCTTCAGTGACAGACCCTGGCATGAGCATCTTCGGAGTCTGGTCTAAACATACCTGTGAAACATGGGGAGCTCTGGGGACATGAGCAAAGAGGTATGACTGCACCCATCCTCCACTCAGCTCTCCCCATTGCTATGAGCACTTGGTACATTCTGCCTTTGATCCTAAAGTCCAAGCACTTGATAATAAACAGCCACAAAAGAGAAACAGCAAGCCTTTGGAGGAAAAGCCTGCTAGAAAGCAATGGTAGAAAGTTCTAGTGTGATAAAACCTCACATTTGATCAACTTTCCAATTTGCCAAAGCCTCCGAGGGATAACTTACAAAATGACTAGCAAAATGAAAACCGGTGGGGCTGCTATGTAATTACAGCAATCTCCAAGTTACAAATACCTGGCTTGTAAGTCTGTCATGCCACAAACCACCAGCTGCATTTTACTTCCGCTCTTCCTACCAACCCCCAATTGTTTCTGACAACAAAGTAAAGAAACTTTTTGAAGATGGAATCTTGATCCACCAGCTTTCTTCCTGGGCAGGACTCCTTTATCCCTTTCTCCCACACAGGACAGTGAACATGTGTGCCCACACCCTGACAGGGTCTTCCATCATTCAACTCTCATTTTATCAGGTAGCTCACACGAATGCCAGTTCCAGCACTGTGAAAGTATTCTTTACAGACAACACAAAAGTCAATAGATCTCACCCACTCCATAGGTATTGATCAAGAAAAAGGAAAAGGCCTTTACATATTTTGAAAGGAATTTCGGGGGGCTGGAGAGATGGCTCAGCTGTCAAGAGCACTGGCTGCTCTGGCAGAGGACCTGGGTTCAGTTCCTAGCACCTACATGGTAGCTAACAACCATCTGTAACTCCAGTTCCAGGGGAATTCCAGGTCCTCTTCTGTCCTCTGTGGGCATTGCATGACATGGTGCACTTACACACATACAGGCAATATACTCATACACATAAAATAAAAATAATAAATAAAATATTAAAGAAAGGAATTTAGAACAGGAATAAAAAAAACCAGGAGATGTTAGCCTTCCTGATAGTCTCTGGAGGAAAGAGTGGTACTTCGGTGGGTAGGGGTGCACAATTTGGTGACACATGCAAATTTAAAATGAGCATAACTTATAATACATCAAACTGACATTTAGGGATTCATCTTATGGATATTCTGTGTGGATCTGACCATATCAGTACATAATGAATTAAGTGCTTAGATATGAATCTTAACATTGTTTGACACAGTGAACAAAAGCAAAATTATGGTGCATTCATGACATGATACGCCACATACCTGTTAAAAAAATGAGACGGAGGAAGCTGATCTAGACATTTTGCTGTATGTACTTCTAACTTAGTTTATGAAAGATAAAAAAATCTGTATTCAATTACATCATAACACTTAAGTAAAATCTATTGAGTAATATAAATGCCTGAGTAGCAAAACAGGGGCTGAGATCAGTGGGCTGGATGAACATGGAAACTGGACACTCTGTCTGTGAGGGTCAGAGTTAAAGCTTAGCCACAATCAGGAATAACAAAATGTGCACTAGAGACCTGACTTCAATCTAGGCATCCCAAATAGTAGATTCTGTTGTCAAACTGTTCCTAAGGATGGCAAGCCAGTTACTGCTCAGCAGCCCAGACCTAGCTGACTCTCCCTGTCCTTGACTAAAAGACAGTGAAAGCCCACCTAGAGCAGCTGTAGGCTACTGAGGAAATGACTGGCAGCACAGGAAAGCCACTGCCAGCTTCCCTATTCCTCCCCTGTTGCAAGATAGAGGGTTGGCAAAACATCTGACCCATTGGTACAAGGTCCTTATGTTCACTTTTGCCTGAGCTAAAAGGAAAAGGACCAAGTAATTCCTGTTTCTCTCAACTCAGTTGATCCTAGATTACTTGTAGCCTTTGCTTCTACAACAGCTTTGATGACAAGCAGCTTATTCAAAGTGGGACGGTGCAGCACACTACACAGCAATTCCTTTATCAGCTCTAGGGAAGAGTCACTGAAGCAGGATTGGAAATCTGCTGCTGAGTGTAACAACACAACACACATTTACAGAAAGAACGTGACCTGTCAACACTACAAAAAATAAAACCAAAAGTTTCCCAGACTTGATGGAATACATTGGGGAAGATGTTGCCTTACTTACAGGAAAGGCTTTTGTCTGACTCAAGTGTCAAACTGGCAGTTAAGTAGTGGTAAATTAGTGCAGGTGTGGACAAAAGAGGGTTCAAAAATGCATTCAGGCTGCTATGGCCTTCTTTACGTAAATGGCGACAGGCTGGATGGCAAAGGGACGGGAGCATGGAGCAGGGACAATCTGCTGCAAAGACCCAAAGGGTGGGGAGGGAGGTCTCAGGGGAGGGGCAGCTGGAGAAAGGAGGAAATTCTCAGTCTGCAGTTTCTGGCAGGGGTCCATACACTCATGGAGCTGTCTGTGGTCTGGCCCTAACCTTCAGAGGCTGAGCCAACCATTCCCGCCTGCCTGCCATTTCGACACTGAGCATTTCAACGCAGCCTTATCTCTCTGTGTTCAATTTATACTTTCTGAGAAGCCACAAGATTCCTCATCCAGAACAGACATTCCACTGCTCATGGGAAAGTCTCTGGTCTCAGCCCTCCAGGCAGTATCTTATATGCTAGATTAAAGCTGAATCACAGGCAGCTCCAAAGCTGTTCACTACAAGAGTGAAAGCAACTACCTGACAAAGTTTGAAAACACCCTTGGGTCATGCTGGTGCCACAGACACCTGTGGGCCTCTGCCATCCACCTGGCTGGTGTCCACTTTGCCATCCTCTGGTTCTTTTCTACCTGCATCTAGTTCTGGCCCAAAGCAGACTCCTGACCAAGTGCCATATCTCTGGCCTGCTACTTCTGTCTGCACCAACAGCCTAGATCCCACGCCTGCTTCTGTTTCTGTCATGTGCCTCCTGGTAATTCCCTGCTCCTCGTCTGTACCTGAGACTCTCCTCCTGCTTCACTTTGAATCATGCCCAGTACCTGTTGTCCCATGTCCCATGGGTCTAGACATGGATTCTCCCTCTGCTTTACCCTTTTTAGCTTGGTTACATTTGTATCGTTTATAGAATGAGAAGTTTACATCTTCTGAGAATGGACACCGCCCAGTCCACTTCCCATATTCTAAGTATCTTGTTAGCAGCAATCTGGTCCTGTGCTGGAGACTGGGTAACTCCAGCCTCAGATTAACAGTCATAACAAACCCTCTCCCTTGGCTTGATCTCAGTCTTGACTGCTAGACTTCTGTTCTAAGCTCCGGGAAAACTGGAGCCCTACACCCAGCAGTGCTAAACTCAGCACTTGATTTCAACTCCTTCCTCTCAAAGCTCCTCCAAGTTACAAGAACATCTGGTGGTAGAGCACCCACCTCCCTGGAGGAGCTGAACACAGGCAAGAAATGGTGAATCTCTACCAGGCATGGTGGTACATGCCTGCAATCCAAACACTGGGGCAGGGGATGAGGCAGGAAGATCACAAATCAGAGGCCATCCTAGACCATAGAGTCGCCGAAAACCAGAAAGAGTCATGAATTACCAATAGTTCACTGATAGTTTCTTCCCTGCTCAATGATCCATTTGAGGAGAGCAGTCTCCTAGTCCCTGACTAGGTATAAGGTGGCCATGAGGACCAACAATCCAAGAACAGGCACTCTGGCAACTATCAAGTCTGACAAACAGGACCATCACTACTGTCAGCCAGCCAATAGGCACCATATCTGCCTTCCTCACCTGGACCAAAGTGAGGGAAAGGTGGGCCTGAGCCACATGCTTCTGTTTGGCATCCTGTGCTTACCTTTGTCACTGCAAGCCCCACACTGTATTGTAGTCAACTGTTCCACATTGAGACAGTGACCAATTCAACCCTGTACAAGCATTCAGACACAGCTTTGCAAATGATGGATAAATGGATGTGTGAAGGGACAAAGGAATGAATGAAACAAGGTTTGGTTTTAGACACTAAGCCGACAGGAACACTGGATATAAGACAGAAGAGTCAGAATGACTTCACAAGGTCTATCCCAGCCCTTGCTGACAGTAGAGACATTCTAGCCTGTGCCTTGGCCCTGTTGTGGACTCACCGGTATGGTTCCATGGTGCGCATGCCATAGAACAAGGCCTCCTCCAGCAGCCCCAGGTTGATGCATGCGTCCATAGCGCAGTCGAGCACCTTCAGCTGGTAGATGTTGATATCAGGAAGCCGCTCCGAGTTGCTGCTTATGATTGCCTGGCACATGGCCAGAACCTGTTCCCACTCTGTTATTAACCTTAGTTAAGGATTCATTGTCTTCATCAAGAAAAAAACAAAGTAAATGGAGATCGTCTAAAAGGCTGAAGAGCTCCCAGGCAAGGAGGGAGGAGGCACCCATTATTTTACACAGATGAGCTGCCTGGAAACACTTGAGAAACAAAAACATGTTTAAGTGGTATCTCAGTGAAGTAAATTCTGTTTATATCAACAAACTCTCTTCTAACCCTGTCTGTGGTCTGGAAGATTAAAATTTCTAAGGGAATATTCTTTTTGCACACTTGTATATACATTCTCTTTAAACTTAGTTGAGAAATGAATTAAAGTAGACTAAATGGATGTTATTAAACTGGACTGAAGGTTTAGTTCAGCTTAAAATTATTTACTGAATTAGCTTCTATTTAAAAATTCACCTGTAGGGACTGGAGAGATGGCTCAGCAGTTAAGAGCACTGGCTGCTCTCGCAAAGAACCTGGGTTTGATTCCCAGCACCCACATGGCAGCTAACAACCATCTATAACTCTAGTTCCAGGGGAATGTGATGCCTTCTTCTGACCTGCGCAGACTTTACATGACATGGGTATACTTACATACATGCAGGCAACATATTCATACATATAAAAAATAAGTAAAAATAGCAAATAAAATATAAAATAAAAATTCACACGCAATGAAAGAAGCTTTACAGAGAGTCTTGTCTACAAAGGAAGAAGTAAGGGTTTGCTTCTGTATCCTTGAGCCATGGGCATATATGAAACCCAGACCACAGGCCCACAGCAGGGGCAGCAATATGAAGAAATTTATTTCTAATGGATCTTATATTTAGTGTTTATTGTAGAATTAAAGGGACCCAAACCTATACTTAACTAAATAAATGTATTCTTACCTTAAGCCCAAATACTGTGAGCAAAGGAAAATGATGCCTTAAAAAGAATGAGATGATACATCTCTCAGTAACATTGACTTTCTGATTAACCAATGAGTCAATTAAGTCAATCACTTAATTTCATGGAGCCTCAGTATGAATATCCCACCCCATAGTGAACAGAGTCTAACTATGCTGCTCAGGGTGGCCTCAAACCACTGCATTCAAGTGATCAGTCCGCCTCAGCCTCCTGAGTAGCCGATGCTACAGATGTGCAACACTTGGTCCAGGTTTTAATCTCACTTTTCCCAAGAGATATCCCTATTCTACTATAGAGGCAGGCAGAGGACTGAGGGCACAGTGTACCAAACTTCCTCCACAGCACAGCTGAAGGCTGCATATACAGGACCCACCTCGGATCATCACCCAGCCTCTCAGTTACCCAGCTGTGTCCTACCAGGTTGAGGCCCAGGAGACACTGGCCTGTACTGGGCCTTTCCCTCCCCTCTTCCCACTCTCTACCATGTAGCTCTACACTCTTGTACTTTTATGTTAGAATTCCAGTTGGGGGAAAACATCTGAAGATTTAAGTTATAAAATAAATGGTATAGACTTTGAGCATAGACAAAGCCTGGTTCAAGCCTAAACTAGTTCTGTCGTTTGTCAGATTTGTGGGTCTTGAGAAAGTCAAAGTACTCTGAGATAGGACAGAAACAAAATGCCTTATGTCTTAGTAAAACTTAAATAAGATGTATCTAAAAATGAAAAAAAATCTTGTTCTCTCATGAGTTAGGCAGAGTTCTGGATGTCATGGGTATGGTGGGAAACATTTACTGGGATGTACAAAGTATACTCCGGACCTATGAGTGCCTTCCTGTCGTGGCCTCTGAGCCAGACTGGACCAGGAAAGAGTGTGGAAGGGCATGCAAGTGTGATGGATCACCCCTCCTCCTCCACACGCAGAAGACCCCATCTCATCACAGCCCCATGCTCATGCACTTCTCACCTTCAGCTCATCCCCTCACCAGCATCCTAACACAGCAAATCTAACCCTGAGCAGGTAGCCTGTGTATACAAAGCTCTTTTGCCTCTTTCCAGAAAAATCCACGTTTCCATTGTCCACAGCATCAGGGCACTACTTTGAAGAAATCATCAGCAAGTGCTTCTACCAACCAAGCCACTTGTGCGGGTGGGAACAGCACCTTCATGAACCTCATCGGAAATAGGCTTCGTTTCTGCTGAGGCAGTACGCCTAACTTCAAAGCACTATCTCCTTGGTGAGAATTTCAAGCTCAGGGGGCCCTGTGTGTCACCATTTTAGGGCAAATCCTGGCTCTGGTCCCAGAAAGGGTTCATGTACTGCAGACAGTGATTTGAAGTTATTGACAGTTAGTGATTTTCTTTTGTACTCATCTGACACGATGTCTCAAGTTTGTTGAACGTGTCCCCCAGAGGCTGGGGGAAGCGGTTTCTTGGGCAATGCACTTGATTTTGAAACAGATTGCTGGGCTAACCTCTGTGTCTTTTCATTCCAGGATTAGATATCTGACGAATTGTCAGGAGGAATGACTGTCTCTTATACAATGCTAGACATTTCTGTGGGAAGGCTCACGCCTTATTATAACATCATTTTGCTCAATCTCTAGACAAATAATAATTTGCCTATTCATTTCCATAATGTGCTCCAACTCATTCAAGAGGCTTGAGGTGACAAGCCTTAGAAGTGGAAACCAGATGTGGTGTTCTGTACCCACTCATAGGAATGTATCTACATATCCCCCCACAACTGTCTCCTGGCAAACAAAGGAAAACTTTTCCTATAAAAACCCCCAATGAAAAAATAAGGAATAACTTAAACTATGAGGCTATTTCCCGAAGCTATTGCTGACATGTATTTGCTCAGAGATTTCATCCCTGGAACCTAAAAGGTGTCTTACATGCCACTGCTCCAGCAAGGAGGTGAGCTCTAGACTAAAGAGGACTGAGAGTCCCAAGGGCAGGGCAGGGCAGGGCAGAGCAGGGGCCTTCCTTCTAAAAGTCCTGATAACTACAAGAAGTTGGGGAAACAGAGACAAAGGAGTGAAGTCAATTCATTTGGGAGTTAGCTTAAGACTCAAGTCTGTCAGAGCACAGAGTTCATACTTATCTGGCCACACTACTCCCCTGTGCAACAATATTCTAGGGCCCTTAGCCTAGAAACTTAGGTCTGTGTACAGTTCCTATAGGTTGTAATCTCCTTTGAGAAAGCTTAATCACCCCTTCCTGTATCTTTAAATACACATGTATGTGTGTGTGTGTATATATATCTGTACATATATGTGTGTGTATCTTCACCAAAATATGTATTGTAGTAATCAGTTTTATGCTACTATAAAGAAATTGAAGCAAGATACTTATGAAGTAAAGACAGGCTTATTGGCTCATGGTTCTGGAGGTTCGAGTTCAAGATCAGGTGGCCCTATTGGTCTGGCCTCTGGTGATGGTGCCATATGGCAGCGGTAGGAATGTGTTCAGAACAAGCACTGACATGTCAATCCAGAAATCAGAGAGAGGCTGAGCAACCAGGGTCTGACCTTGAATACACACCATTCCCCTTTAAATCCATGCCCTCGATGACTTCCCAATAGGCCTCACCTCTTAAAGGCCCTCAGCACCCCCCTATAGAGTCACCCTGGGAACTAGATACCTAGGTTTTTATAGGTGGACGTCTGGGGAATACTAAATGAAACAAGGGTAGGTGGTAATTTGCATAATTACTATCCTACTGTATGAGAGTTGGGAACACTGGATTATGTCTTCTAATTTCTGCCTTAATCACAAGGTGGATTAGGACTGTTAAAGTACCTGGCACAGAGTCAGTTTTCATTTAAGCCTCATCCAGGTGAGACTGAAATGTACCATGATCCTCCATGGCCTTAATTCTGCTGCATGGAACCACAAAGAACAATTTTACTCAGCAGTGTAACAGCTCTTTGAGCCTATGAATGTCAACCTTGTGTTTCCAGAACTGGCTGTTTTCCAGTATCTCTCATCCCATCAACAGGAGGAGTTTCAAACTCCTCCTTGACTCCATCCATTACTCATAAGGAATTTAATTTCTCTTCATACCTCTTAATATGCCCTACCTCAAATCAAACTTGAAATTCTAGACAGGATCAGCCTAGTACCATCCCCCTTTTTCTCTCATTTTATTTTCTATATCTCTCTGAATGCAGCTCAAGATGACAGCTGTCTTTGGAGAGTTGCAGCCCACTCTTACACTTTATTAAATTTTGCGATCCACCAAAGCCCCACAATCCTTACATGCATTCTGCTGCTGAGCTTTAAGTATATTTACACTTCAACTTTCTGCCCCAAATAGAAGATTTTGCCTACAACTCTTTTCAAATTTCATCTTTTGAAGCTCAGTCAGCATTCCAGCTTTCAGGGATCTACTGAGCTCTTGGCACTATGGTCATTCCTCTGTTATCCTGCTCATCTCCATCTTGGGAAGGTGGCAAATCTGTGCTCTGTAGTTTCATGCAAGGTACTAAGTCAAAATCTGAGGAGACCAGACATGGGAACACAGCACCCCAGAGTGATGTTTGTGTCATTTGATCATTGAATGATATGCTAGTATTTAACATAATGTCTTGATTACTTCCTTTCAAAACCCCTAATAAAATCTAAATGCAAACTTTACCAAAACAGTCCATGAATCTGTGGATATACTTATTCGTAGTGAATTCATGCAGCAAGCTGGCCACTACAGCTTTCCTTTCTATTTCTTGATAACCAACTGTGGATCATCACAGAGGACTCTAATCATGTGCTATCTCCCTTTGCTCTGAACTTTGACCTACTCATGCGCCTTATCATTTAGGCCAAGAAAATATATTATGTAGGACCCTACTGCTGGCTGTTTCTTGACTGATTTGCTGTGAAGCATCTAGGTTTGAGGGTCAGTGGTATTAAATTATAAAGATTCTAATATGGGGCTGGAGAGATAGTTCATCAGTTAAGAGCACGGGTTGATCTTGCAGAAGACCAGGGTTTGGTTCCCAGCACCCACATGATGGCTGGCAACTGTCCATAACTCCAGTCCTAGGGGATCTGATGCCCTCTTCTGACCTCTGTGGGCATTGCACGACATGGGTACACTTATACACATGCAGGCAATTGCACTCATATACATAAAATTAAAATAATAAATAAATTTTTTTAAAGATTCTAATACATTCCTTTTCAGAGATGAAAGTGGTTGTAGGAGGAAGGGGATCTATGAGTTCTTACCTGGGGACCCCTTATCTTCCTGCTATAACTGTGCCATATTATCAGCTGGTGGTAAGGCTTTATGCTGATCTTACTGCTATCTCCCTACAGTTATCCAAACTGCTGGCTGAGCTCAGAGATGCAGCCTGTGGTCACAGAATAGAATGAGGCATTCGGACCTTTCCCTTGGCCCCAGTGACACCAGGCTCCCCATAGCAAAGCAGTAACCCCAACAGTACAACTCAGCCACAGGCAGGATACTCCAGTGTGCCTTCAGCTCTTCAATTTTTTTCAGGGATTCTTGAACCTCCTTCCATACTTGCTCATCACCGGTTAGCATATCATCATCCTGCCCAGATGACATTGAAAAAAAGACAGGAAGAAAAGACAAAGAATTCAATTTAAAAAATGGGCAAAGGATCTGAACAGACATTTCTTCAAGAAAGACATACAAATGGCTTACAAGCACATGAAAAGATAATCAGCACCATTAGTTACTGGGAAAATTTACCTCAAAACCACAATGAGATATTGCTTTATACCCAGTAGCAGAGCTATAATTGAAAATACGGGTAACAGGACATACTGGTAGAAATGTAGAGAAACTGAGAGGCTGATACTCCATTGGTAGATAAGTACAGTGAGTGGGATGGCTTTGAAAAGTGGACTTTTGAGCTCCTTAATAGATATACACAGAGGTACTATGTTACCAACAGACTTAACATATAGCCAGTTCCACTCCTAGGTATATAACCAAGAGGGATTAGAACACGCTCAACAAAAACTTGCACATAAATATTTATAGTTCATTAGAGCCAAAAGAAAGGAAGAAAAGAAAGAAAATAAGGAAGGAAGGAACTCAAATACCTATCAGTTGATGAATGGATAGATAGATAAAAATGTGTCAGTTCAAAAGTCTACTGAAAAATTACATGTACAATGTTTTTACATGAGTCCATATGTATAGGTGAAGGCTATATAACAAGAAACAGTCCCAGACAGGAGAAACCTCCCTTTGAGTTGTTGGCCAGGGTAGTCCAAGAGACTCCCCAAATTATACAGGCTATTGCCACAGCCCTAGATTGCCTCCTAGAACTTGGAGGTAAGACCCTACTGCTGAAGACAGGACATACTTTGGACGCAGGATTCAGAGCAACAGAGCTGGAAACCACTTACCTGAAGGCTAGCTCTCATAGTTTTGGAGAACACTATGTGAGTTGCTAAGGGAGAACATCAATGGATGATCTAACCCCAGTTTTAAAGTCTAACAACCACAACAATGACTGGCACAGTAAACTATACTGATGCAGTAGTGGGACTTTTATAAAGGGAGTAATCAATAGCTACCAATCTGAAATTAAAGCCCACTCAATGGGAGTAAACTCATGTGTGGTACTGTAAACATAGCCAAATACACATTGCTAGAGAGGTGACAGATCTTAGAGAAAATCCCTAGGCTGTCACAGCCCTAGACAAATGTAATTTCTTACTATGTGCTAAATATGGATCATTATATTTACAGACAAGTATGCCAGTCTCCACTCCTCAAAGAAGCTTCTTTTGCAGCAGAGACTATTATGAAGTTCCACAACTGGTCACACAAAGAGAATAATTATCTGTGAAATGCCCAACCCTATGTGACACATCTACAATGGAACCTCTACAACTAAGGTTCATGGAACATAGTGGAACAAGGGATAGAGAGAATACTAATGCCTCTCTCAACTCTCATCAATGAAGTTTCCTCATGCAACAGAGGGCAATGAACACAAAAGGTCACAAATGGCCAAAGCACAGAGAATAAGAGTCTGCAGAATGTGGGTCCTTGGACAGGACTCTTATATTAAATTTCACCCACCTGAGGCTTATGGACCATTATGAAAGAAGGGACGGAAAGATTGTAAAAGTCAAGATAGGAGGTGCATGACCATATGAAAACAGAGTCTTACAGGTTCTGGGAATTTGCTCATATGAACTTACAGAAATTGTGTCAGCATGCACAAGACCCACGCAAACTCAAGCAGACAAAATGGGCAGCAGGCCCCAATCTTAGCTGAAGAACTATTCACAGATGATTACTGCTGGGTGAGGGAGAGCTGATCTTCTTTAAGGGAGTGCTCTAGTTAGGCTGACTAGACCCCAGTGAACGAGTTTGCACTGAGGGACATCTGGGTATACTAATTTGACTCAACAGGCCTTAACATAAATGACACAATGCATAAAATCCAGTGTTGGGGGGGGAACTATGGGTGGGTGTGGATTGGGAAGGGGGTATAAAGATGATTAAAATGTTGTGCATGAAATGCACAAAATTCAATAAAAACATACAAAAAATAAAGAATGAATATTGGTATGGGTGTGGGGCAAGGGAACACATGGACACTGTTGTAGGGAGTGTAAATTTGTTCGGCCACTGTGGAAACTAGTGTGGAGGTTTCTTCAATCAACAACTAAAACAGAACTTCTATATGGCTTGGCTGTAACACACCTGGCCCTATACCCAAAGGACTCTATACCGTAGCAGAGAGATACTTGCATACCCATAGTCATTGCTGCCCAGTTCACAACAGCTAGGAAACTCAATCAGCCTAGATGTGCTTTAACAGATGAATAGATTTTTTAAATGTGGCACATAGGCACAATGGGATTATATTCAGCCATTAATAGAGAAGAAATTATAAAATTTGCAAGAAAATGGATGTAAAGAAGACTGTTCCATTGAGTTGACCCCGTCAAAAAAAAAGAAAAAAGAAATACTGTATATTCTCTGTCATATGTGAATCCAAGCTTCTAATTTTCTATATTTCTCTGGAAGTACATGTGGGTAGAGGCCAGAAAACTACAAAGAGGAACTGTGAGAGGGGGAAAACTGACATTAAAGGGGAGTAAGAGAAGGGGAACAGATGTGGAAGTGGAAGAGAAGATACTGGGGAGCGGATGGTACCAGGGCAGGGGCAGGGATATGGGGGAGAGGAAGAGGTGGGGTAGAAAAAAATGAGTCTGTATGAAAGTGCCATAAAGGAACCTATTATATTTTCTACTAATTAAAAAGTGAAAAAACAAAACAACAAAAACCCAAAAGAACCTTCATACAATAGAACATTATTCAGTAATAAAATAAAAGAAATACTAGTACATGCTATAACATTGCTGTAAGTAAAAGAAGCCAGTCATGTTGGGCTGGAGATGATGTTCTAGTTGGCCTTCAGTTGTTGTGACAAAACACTCTGATCAATACCAACTTGGGGAGGAAAAGGGTTTGTTCGCCTTACATCTCCTGGGTCACAGTTTATCTCTGAGGGTAGCCCAACGTAGGGACTCAGGGCAGGAACCTAGAGGCAGGAGCCGAAGCACACAGGTCATGGAGGAACACTGCTTACTGACTTGCTCCTCTGGCCCAGGCTCAACCTGCTTTCTTATACAACATAGGCCCACCTGCCCAGAGGTGGCACCACCCACAATGGGCTGAGCCTTCCCACAATCACTCAGCAATCAAGAAGATGCCCCACAGATAGGGCCACAGGTCAGTCCAATGGAGGCAATTCCCCAATTGAGGCTCCCTCTACCCAGGTGTGTCAAGTTGACAACTAAAGCATCCAGCACAGTGGGTAAAGGTACCCATTGCCAAGCCTGACCATCTCAGTTTGAACCCAGGATCTATCTGGTAGTTAGAACTGACTTCAGAAAGTTCCTCTGACCTCCATACATGTGCCATGAATGTACATGCCCCTCTCCTACACACAAAATAAAAATACAATAAAAGATTTTTAGGGTTTTTTTTTTCTTTTTTGGTCTTTTGGAGACAGGGTCTCCCTGGAACTCACTATGTAGACCAGGCTGGCCTTGAACTCACAGAGATCCAGATGTGCACCACCATGCCTGGTCAGTAAAAGATTTTTAAAAGACCACATGTTGTGTAACTCCGTAAAGAAACTAACACTACTGATTTATATACTATAAACTGAGTGAATTATATAATATGTGAATTACACCTCAATAAAACATAAAGAAACATTAGGAAAACATAGGAGCAAGAGGTTTTTAAAAAGTCATTATTTGGGGCCTGGACAGATGGCTCAGCAGTTAAGAGCACATACTGCTCTTACAGAGGACCCACGTTCAGTTCCCAGCACCCACACTGAGCTCATAACCACCTGTTACTCTAGCTCCAGGGATCTGATGCTCTATTCCTGGACTCTGCAGGTACCTGTACTCACTCTCACAGGCACACAATTAAATATAAAATAAATCTTCCCCCCAAAGGTCATTATTTGTTAGGAAATAAAATGGAAAACCCAATATGGCATTATCAACCAAGTTATGATAAAAGAGGTATGTATACTACACCCATGCAAACTATTCCTGACTTTCACAAAACTTAGGAATACCACAAATATCTTAACGTTTTTAAAGCCATTAAAATTATAAACTATCATTTATTATACATTTTTCTCTCATTTAATAAGCAGCACCTCCATCGTTCCTGTTTGCCAATGTGTTCCCAGCAGGGTACATGGCAGGTATCTGCAAAAGAATGATTCAAAACCATGTGTAAGGCTTGGCACAGGGTACCATATAATACTGTCCCATTTCCTCTTCATACAGCTCTCCTATGTAAGTAAAGTCATCGTTGGTGCATTTATGGGTGGACAGTGGATGCAGTCTACCCTAGGTCAGGAAACTAGGAGGTACCTGTCCTTTAGAATACTGGGAAACATTGACAAAAGCAACAGAAAGATGGTTTGATTTTTACCATCATGAACAATTCTAAGTAATTTCAAGGTAAAAATGTTCTTTCCCCTCCAGGTCACAGGGTACCTGCCACCCCTTCCCTAATGCTCCACTGATCAAGATCTGAAACTCGATTCAGCATGATTATATGACCTGCCTGAAAACCACAAGCATGGAACAAAAGCTTAACCTGGTTTTCTTCCCAGAGGCTGTGTTCTTGTCATGTGCTCTGCTTCCCACAAACCCCGCTGTGGCCTCTCTGGCAAGCTCAGCAAGTTGTTCTTTCTTAAAGTTGTGCTGTCCAACACAGTGGGTACTTAAATCAGTTAAAACTAAATACAACAAGAACCCCAGTTCCTCAGCTGCACCGGCCACATTTTTAAGAGCTCCTCAACTCCCTGTGGCTATGGCCACACAATGTACAGTGCAGGACAGTCTTATGGATGTCCTATGGCGTCCTCCAGGATGTCCTATGGGACAGTGATACTGTGAAGAGGACAATCAAAGGGTGGGGACGCCACTCAATATAGCATTCCATACTCTGCATGGGAGGAGATTATCTAAGAAGCTGAGGCATGGCAAGGCTAGGGTAATGGGAAGGGTGAACAGGTTTCTTCT